GAGGCTACTGGGGACAGTGCCAGGCTAGGTGCACCCTGAGGCTACTGGGGACAGTGCCAGGCTAGGTGCACCTCGAGGCTACTGGGCAGTGCCAGGCTAGGTGCACCCTGAGGCTACTGGGGTCAGTGCCAGGCTAGGTGCACCTCGAGGCTACTGGGCAGTGCCAGGCTAGGTGCACCCTGAGGCTACTCGGGACAGTGCCAGGTTAGGTGCACCCTGAGGCTACTGGGGACAGTGCCAGGCTAGGTGCACCCTGAGGCTACTGGGGACAGTGCCAGGCTGGGAGCACCTCGAGGCTACTCGGGGCAGTGCCAGGCTAGGTGCACCCTGAGGCTACTGGGGACAGTGCCAGGCTAGGAGCACCTCGAGGCTACTCGGGGCAGTGCCAGGCTAGGTGCACCTCGAGGCTACTGGGGCCAGTGCCAGGCTAGGTGCACCTCGAGGCTACTGGGCAGTGCCAGGCTAGGTGCACCTCGAGGCTACTGGGGCCAGTGCCAGGCTAGGTGCACCTCGAGGCTACTGGCCAGTGCCAGGCTAGGTGCACCTCGAGGCTACTGGGGACAGTGCCAGGCTAGGTGCACCCTGAGGCTACTCGGGACAGTGCCAGGTTAGGTGCACCCTGAGGCTACTGGGGACAGTGCCAGGCTAGGTGCACCCTGAGGCTACTGGGGACAGTGCCAGGCTAGGAGCACCTCGAGGCTACTCGGAGCAGTGCCAGGCTAGGTGCACCCTGAGGCTACTGGGGACAGTGCCAGGCTAGGTGCACCCTGAGGCTACTGGGGACAGTGCCAGGCTAGGTGCACCTCGAGGCTACTGGGGCCAGTGCCAGGCTAGGTGCACCTCGAGGCTACTGGGCAGTGCCAGGCTAGGTGCACCCTGAGGCTACTGGGGACAATGCCAGGCTAGGTGCACCTTGAGGCTACTGGGGCCAGTGCCAGGCTAGGTGCACCTTGAGGCTACTGGGGACAGTGCCAGGCTAGGTGCACCTTGAGGCTACTGGGGCTAGTGCCAGGCTAGGTGCACCTTGAGGCTACTGGGGACAGTACCAGCCTAGGTGCACCCTAAGGCTACTGGTGCCAGGCGAGGTGCACCCTGAGGTGAAGTCTATCTGTGTGGAATATGAACATTGTTTACCCAGGATGCACCACGTCCGCGGGCTTCAAATTCAAACAACAAAATCGGCGACCCGCAATGCAAGGTGAGCCAACGGATTATTTTTTTTATATATCAAAGTTTTAAAAATAATAACAGCAAAATTAAATAAAGACGGCAACTAACCACCGATAGCAACCCTTACTAGTCGCCTTAAAGCAGAAAAAAAATACAAATCATATAAGTGTAATGACGACTCGACACACTTCTCTTGAGATGGCACTTCATTGAAGACACGTTCACTTGACATCAGGCGGAGAGTCTCCCGCGCACCTCCCTTATATAGCAACACGAGGCCACGCCCCCCTTCTCGATCATTCTCGCTGACTCTGGACGCTCGCTCCACCGGCAGACTCCACCGTCCCCTTCCGTCGCCTGACCACACTCCCTTCTTGATCATTCCCGTAGCCACCGGTCCCTTCGCACTCACAACTGATACCCCTGTCATTACCTCCCGTGGCCACCGGTCCATTCACACTGCAGGCTGACTTCCCTGTCATTACCTCCCGTGGCCACTAGTCCACTCGCACTGCAGGCTGACTCCCCTGTCACTACCTCCCGTGGCCACCAGTCCACTCACACTGCAGGCTGACTCCCCTGTCATTACCTCCCGTGGCCACCAGTCCATTCACACTGCAGGCTGACTCCCCTGTCATTACTGTCCCGTGGCCACCAGTCCACTTCGCACTGCAGGCTGACTCCCCTGTCATTACCTCCCGTGGCCACCAGGTCCACTCAGCACTGCAGGCTGACTCCCCTGTCACTACCTCCCGTGGCCACCAGTCCACTCACACTGCAGGCTGACTCCCCTGTCACTACCTCCCGTGGCCACCAGTCCACTCACACTGCAGGCTGACTCCCCTGTCATTACCTCCCGTGGCCACCAGTCCATTCACACTGCAGGCTGACTCCCCTGTCATTATGTCCCGTGGCCACCAGTCCATTCGCACTGCAGGCTGACTCCCCTGTCATTACCTCCCGTGGCCACCGGTCCACTCGCACTGCAGGCTGACTCCCCTGTCACTACCTCCCGTGGCCACCAGTCCACTCGCACTGCAGGCTGACTCCCCTGTCACTACCTCCCGTGGCCACCAGTCCACTCACACTGCAGGCTGACTCCCCTGTCATTACTTCCTGCAGCCACCAGTCCTCTCACACCGTAGGTTTACTCCACTGTCATTACCTCCCGTGGCCACCAGTCCGCTCACACTGCAGGCTGACTCCCCTGTCATTACCTCCCGTGGCCACCAGTCCATTCGCACTGCAGGCTGACTCCCCTGTCATTACCTCCCGTGGCCACCGGTCCATTCGCACTGCAGGCTGACTCCCCTGTCATTACCTACCGTGTCCACTGGTCCACTCGCACTGCAGGCTGACACCCCTGTCACTACCTCCCGTGGCCACCAGTCCATTCGCACTGCAGGCTGACTCCCCTGTCACTACCTCCCGTGGCCACTAGTCCACTCACACTGCAGGCTGACTCCCCTGTCATTACCTCCCGTGGCCACCAGTCCACTCACACTGCAGGCTGACTCCCCTGTCATTACCTCCCGTGGCCACCAGTCCACTCACACTGCAGGCTGACTCCGCTGTCATTACCTCCCGTGGTCACCGGTCCACTCACACTGCAGGCTGACTCCCCTGTCATTACCTCCCGTGGCCACCGGTCCACTCACACTGCAGGCTGACTCCCCTGTCATTACCTCCCGTGGTCACCGGTCCACTCGCACCGCAGGCTGACTTCCCTGTCATTACCTCCCGTGGCCACCAGTCCACTCACACTGCAGGCTGACTCCGCTGTCATTACCTCCCGTGGTCACCGGTCCACTCACACTGCAGGCTGACTCCCCTGTCATTACCTCCCGTGGCCACCGGTCCACTCACACTGCAGGCTGACTCCCCTGTCATTACCTCCCGTGGCCACCGGTCCACTCGCACCGCATTTCGGCTCTACTGCCATTACGTCAGCAAACAATTTTAATATTTTAGTTTTACATTTTCACAAAAGTAAAGATTCTCCATTCCCACCCACCTTTTTTTAATAGCCTTTACATAGCTGTTGGGGCAAGTGGCGTTAGCAGCCTTTGTCTCTCCACAGGTGTTTTAAGTGGCGGTGACGTCACCGTCGTCTTCCCCCACGGCGCTTTGTGCCAAGCTAGGTGCACCTGGAGGGCACGCGTGCAGGCAATGGGAGAGCGTCAACGAATGATTGTTAATTTATTATTATTTAAAATATACATAAATATCAACACTAAAATGAACGCGCCTAAATTTCCCTCAGAACTCGACACAAAGTTAAATTTTAACGCGACTAAGAAGATATATCCTTGGTTCTTTCGGTAAAGTCACGTGGATAGAAAATTTAATTATAAAAAATCAAATGAAAGCAAAAAAAACACGACGTTTCGATCGCAACACAAGTGGTCTTCATCAGGCGGAGAGAAAAAAGAAGACTTTGTATTATTATGACTTTAATAAATATTTTTATGAACTACAGAAAATAATCCGCATTGCTCGCTGTAAAAAATAAGTAAAAACTACGTAAGCAAACAAGCAAACAACATCAATATTTCGTTTACATTTACAGAGCTGTTGGGGACAAGTGCTTTTGTTAAGCGAGTATTCGCGCGCTTATGAAAGCCGACGGTTTAACATAATTTTTTTTACCTTAAAATTTTATTGAACTAAAAATGTTCAATTCATAATCAGCCGGTTTACATTTCCCTTAGAACTCGACACAAATCGCCACAAAGTTACATTTTAACGCGACTAAGAAGACCATATTGTTTTCAATAAATACATATTTAAACCAAACACCCTTTTTCCCAACCCCACCTACACCGCACCAACACCCCTCCACCAACCCCCACCCACCAACTCCCCCCCCCCTCCACCAACCCCCACCAATCACCCCACCAACCCCCCTCCACCAACCCCCACCCACCAACTCCCCCCCCCCTCCACCAACCCCCACCCCACCAACCACCCCACCACCCCTCACCCACCAACTCCCCCCATTAACCCTCCCCCCACCAGCCCCCATCACCAACCTCCCCTCCACCAGCTCCCCCCCCACCAACTACCCCCCATCAGCCCCCATCCCCCCCAACCCCCCCCCCACCAACTCCCCCCATTAACTCCCCCCCACCAGCCCCCATCCCACCAACCCCCACCCCACCAACTCCCCCTCACCAACTCCCACCCTACCAACCCCCACCCCACCAACTCCCCCCCCCCACCAGCCCCCCCCCACCAGCCCCCCACCCCACCAACTCCCCCCCCCCCCACCAGCCCTCCACCCCACCAACTCCCCCTCACCAACTCCCCCCCACCAACCCCCACCCCACCAACTCCCCCCCCCACCAACTCCCCCCATTAACTCCCACCCCACCAGCCCCCATCCCACCAACTCCCACCCCACCAACTCCCCCCCACCAACCCTCCCACCCCACCAACCCCCCTACCCCCCACAATGCCCCGCGCGCGCTAACGGATTTTCAAAGTTGTCCGCCGTTTTCGGCGCCATTTTCGAGCGGGGCGCCTCTCGAGCGGGGCACGCGCGGGAGTGCGCGCGCGCGCTTTTTGTTGTTGTTGTCTCTTAGGGAGGACAAGGGGGGTGGGGTGGGGGGGTACCCTTCTACCCTTCTTCTACCCCTACTCAACCATCCGCTGCTCAGCGGCGGTTTCTTAAAAAAAAAATTCGCCCGACGAGACGGCGCTGCTGCCCGCCCCGCTGCTGCCGGCGACGCGAGGCGCGCGAAACGACCCTAACAACTTTTTTTGTTTGTGTGACGGGGGGGAGTGGGGGGCAATTTGTTTTTTTTGTTTTAAAAAAGGTTTAAAAAAAAAACGCGCGCTGAGGTAAAAGGGGGGGGGAACCCCACAATTCACACCCCCCCCCATCTCTCTCCACCCTGGTGGGCGTGGTTTGTATCGCGATGGGCGTGGTTTGTATCGCGGTTGGGCTTGGTTTTGGTGGGTGGGGCGTCGTCTCGGCGCGGTGCTTTGCTATGGGGGGGGGCGTGGTTTCGTTTCTTATGGGTGTGGCTTTGTCTCTTCGGGGCGTGGTTTGGGCTTATGTGGGGGCGGGGCGGGGTTGGTCAGCGCGCGCGTCTCGGCCCCCAACCTCTCCGTTCTTGTCGCTTGTGAGCAAAAAATTTTTTTAAAAAAAGTTAAACATTTTTACGATTAATTTCGTTATCTTGTCGAGTTAAAAGTGCGCGCAGGCTGCTTGTCGATGAGCGATTTTAACCCTTTTTCGTTGTGTTTTTTTACCTACGCGCTCGTACGTTTTCTTTGGTAGTGTCATCGTAACTGCAAGGACGTGCTATTTTTTATGTTTTAACTTGGTCTGACTTAAGACAAATTTTAGTGCGAAGGACGTCGCTTTTTTTGGGTCAGTTGTGGATATTTATATCGTCTCTTTTAAGTTTTTCTCAGTTGTGTTTGACGCACATTTGTTCTGTAATCTAGTAAAAGTTAAGTCTTCAATATAATGACTTTGCTGGCACTAGATCCCCGAGGTTTTGAGAAAGATTTGTGTAGTTTGAAGAGGTTTAAAGTATATTTTTTTCCCGTCTTTACTTAACAAATGTATTTTCATTAAACGCATAAAGTGCGCACAGTCGTATTTTTGAAGTGTAAAGAAATTTAAATATAGCAACGTTCAGGGGCATTGCGGTTAATGTAAATCAATCATTCCCCCCCTCATGAGGTAAACCAGTAAACTTTTTTTACTTTTAAAAAATATATATTTTGTAAGTATATAACGTGCATGCTATTTATTTTTAAAGTGTAAAGAAATTTATTTGTAGCAACATTCGGGGGCATTGCGGTTAATGTAAATCAGTAAGTCCCCCCTCATGAGGTAAACCAGAACTTTTTTTTACTTTAAAAAATATATATTTTTGTAAATATATAACGTGCATGCTATTCTTTTAAAGTGTAAAGAAATTTATTTGTAGCAACATTCGGGTGCATTGCGGTTAATGTAAATCAATAATTCCCCCCTCATGAGGTAAACCAGCAAACTTTTTAGACTTTTTTTTAAATATCGTACATATTTAACGTGCATGCTATTTGTAAATCTACTATCCGTCTTACTCAAACTGTTAACAGTGTAACGTAACAGTATTTTAAACGTGTAATTTGAATACATTTTATTTTGCCGACTTGGGCTGTGTGGGGTGGGATTCCTTTAGAGTCGTTAATGTTTAAATGTAAATTAGAATGCGTTTCAAAATATAAAGTATTAACATTTTTGTACTTTAAAAAAATCAAGTAACCATTTTGTTTAACCTAACGATGACGTTAAACATTAACCGTTCACTTTCGTAACGTTAAAATTGGTGTCTGTGGATGATATATAGTGTCTAACTTTTGAGAATAAAAGTCAATTTATGTATAAACTGCATAACTATTCTCTTGGAAGCGTCTCCAAATCGCGTTGTGTAATCTTAAATGAAGTGTAAATACATATTAAGTAAAGTACTGTATAGTAACATGTCGGCTATTTGACATGGTAATACATAACTAGTATGGCGACACTTTATCAATGTAATGCTAATGTTTGTGATAATACTTAATTATAAGTGTAACAGACTTAAGTCTTATACTGTACACTCGTTAATATTTTATATGTTGACATGTATACTGCATTTAACCGTGTGTGTATGTACTGCATCGATAGTAAGGCGTGCATTAGAGAATACAGGGTAGATGCATCACATTGATCTTCATCCAGCAGTGGATAGTCCATGATGCTAATGAAACATGAGAGATGCATACAGGAACACACTTGGGTGTATAGGGTACAGGAACATACTTGGGTGTATAGAGTACAGGAACATACTTGGGTGTATAGGGTACAGGAACATACTTGCGCGTATAGGGTACACCAACATACTTGTGTGTATAGGATACAGGAACACACTTGGGTGTATCGGGTAGGGGAACATACTTGGGTGTATAGGATACAGGAACATACTTGGGTGTATAGGGTACAGGAACACACTTGGGTGTATCGGGTACAGGAACATACTTGGGTGTATAGGATACAGGGACATACTTGGGTATATAGGATACAGGAACATACTTGGGTATATAGGATACAGGAACATACTTGGGTGTATAGGGTACAGGAACACACTTGGGTGTATAGGATACAGGGACACACTTGGGTGTATAGGGTACAGGGACATACTTGGGTGTATAGGATACAGGGACATACTTGGGTATATAGGATACAGGAACATACTTGGGTGTATCGGGTACAGGAACATACTTGGGTGTATAGGATACTGGAACATACTTGGGTGTATAGGGTACAGGGAGATAATTGGGTGTATTGGGTACAGGGAGATAATTGGGTGTATAGGATACAGGAACATACTTGGGTGTATATGATCAGATGGCATAAGCAAGTTAATGACAATCATCGACATTTAAAAAAAAATCTAATTCAGTGGGCATGGTTGGAATCAGAATCTTTATTTAATACTGCTGGAGGAATCCGATGAGCTATAAAGCTCTTTGTCACATGTCCCAGTCAGGGGCCACGGTGGTCAGAAAGTTACAAAAACAAACACAATTCCAAAACACGATAGGAGTGCACAATATAAAGGCGAGCAAATTGCTAAATATATAGATTATATCTTATATTTATTTTACGAGGTAAAGCCCACTGAGCTATTAACTTCGTTTTCAGAAGTGACGTGGCCATCGCAAATTATAGCTCAATGAAGTGGCTTATCATCATCATGTGGACGTTTCTAGCAGCCAAAATACTCTTAAACGCATGACGGCTATAATGGATGACGGGTCCAGTGGTCAAGAATGATTTGTGTTTAGTTTGTTGTTCTTCCCCCCCCGCTCACCTCCCGATTAGCACTTTTCTAAGTATGGTGCGAAATAAATTCAACATACAGTACATACATAATAATAACGGGAGTAACAGCTAGGCAATGTGATTGCCACCGAGGAGATGGGAGTGATGAAATTATTTTGTGTGGTGGGTGGATTAATGGATTAAATGTTGACTTAAAACTTTCGTGACTGCAGGAATTCATATTCTTTGGTTCTTTCGGTAAAGTCACGTAGTAGATAGAAAAAGTTGTATAAAAATAAAGTGACTAAAAATATCACGGCGTTTTCCTGATGACTACCGCTGGTGTTGCGATCGAAATGCTAGTGCAATTCGTGCTGTAATAAGTATGGTATAAAATGGGTCAAATGTATGTTGAACTTCTGTCGCACCTTACGTAGCCGGCCGTGCTAATCGGCGGTGCGAAACTATCATTGGGAAGTGACCAGTTGTCTATGCTGAGGATGGACTACTCCCGTCATAGGGCTGTGTAGTTACCAAGCACCGCCTTTGTTTCCACATGAGGCCTTTTGGTGATAATTTACATTGTGTGTAATGCGTTAATGTCTCTTTGCCACTGTGACACATCTGAATATTTATTCCTGGAGGAATCCGATGAGCTATCAAGCTTTTTTTTTCACAGACGCCCAGTAGGTTTTCACAAGATTGGTCGGGGAAATGGCGGGCGAGTGAGACTTGACACAACTATTCTTAAACTATTTTTTTTATTTTACCAGGTGTAAGCCCTCACTGAGCTATTAGCTCCGCTTCAGAAGTGACCCTGGCTGTCACGAACGATAGACAATGGAGGCATTTCTTTCCCGCACCTGATTGGCTCCCAAGTGACGACATCACACGTATCTCTCTATTTAAGACCCGAAACGTGGAGGAGGATTTTTCCACAACTCTGGGCTGTCGCTTTGACGATGCTGGTTGGGATTACCGGTGAAATGTCACAGTCCTCGAATTGTAAATGTTGTCGTGGGTTTAGTCTCCCAACACACCGGTTAGTGCTGAACTAGTAACGAATTTGCATCTTTAGTTTACGTGACAAACAGAGGTTTTTTGGGTTAGATCACGTACATATAAATGTGCCGTTAAACCCGCCACCACCCGAGACAGCCAATTAGCAGGGGGTTTGTCACATAAACAAAATGGGCCAATTCGTTTCTCGTACACCACACACCTGTGTGTTGGAGAGTAAACCAACAACATTTACAATTCAAACGCGACGTTTCGCCAGTAATTACAACTAGCATCATCAGGCAACAGCCAGAGTTGTGGATGTATGTTGATTACCCTATGAATAACTCAACTGGTAATGGTTATCCAGGAGGAGGATTTCTACACAACTCTGTGGCTGTCGCCTGACGATGCTGGTTGTAATTACCGGCGAAATGTCACACGGTACTTGAATTGCAAATGTCGTAGTGGGGTTAACGCTCCCAACACACAACCGGTGTGCTGAACTAGTAACGAATCGGCATCGTTTGTTTATGTGAAAAACTTGCTAATTGTCTGCGGTGGTGGCGGGTCAAACGACAAATTTATATTTACGTGATCTAACCCCAAAAAAAGCCTTGTTGATAGGCAAGTGTGTTCCACATTTACCGTATTTTCCCGCATATAACCCGCAGGATATACCACTTTTTACAAACCAAACAAGACCCTGCGGGGTATATGGAGGTGCGGGCTATCCCAAAAATATTTTACACGCGTGACATGTCATAACTCGTTTAATTTTTTAATGGTAGGACTATCCACTATGCAACACTTACCTTTGACTAAAGCACTGCTGAATAAACCACTCACACTAAAATTGCACATGTTATCACGTTTTAATGGATTCTAATTGTTTGTACAATGAAATGACGACTTGAGGGGAAGAGAAAGGTGGGGGGGGGGGGTTAACGGCGTTACCGTAGTGCCGCTATTGTCTGTGGCACTATTGTCTGCGCAGTGCAGTGCACAATCTACCAGTGCTAAAAGTGTACTTATCTACCAGTTATGTGTTTACTTATTTATTGGATATTTACTTTTGTTACTTATTTACTGTTTTAAGTTCACTCGTTTCCGGTTAGTTTGTTTTCTTTGTTCACGTTATGATTTTAATGTTAACAATTGATGTATTACAAATGCAAACTTCGTATTAATATGATGGAATTAAGCTGCGGTAACGACGTTAAAGATATTAATGCATGCGGGGTATATGGAGGTGCGGGCTATCTGAAATTTGTTTTACATAAAACGCTATTTTTGCGGGGTATATGCGTATGCGGGAAAATACGGTACTTTATGTTTACGAATCAAATACGAAACTTCATGTTGTTTCTGGCCATCCAAAATGTTCACTATGAGCCTATTTTTCTAATTCTTGGGTCGAAATAAAAGATGATCTTTAACAAATCCTTAGTATATATTCTCTCTTGTAAGTGAACGCCGGTAAAATCTTCAGTGAATGAAATCCAGTAAAATCCCAAGTATTTAAGATTTTGCCTTGAGAATATTGTTAAATCACCCAGTGTTAAAAAAATGGTGCAATATATCTAGCCAGGCCCTGACCTATCTTGTGTTCTTTAAAGAGCACTTGTGTTCACGTGTACATCGCAGACATAACTGAGCATTGATAAAGTGGGTCTCAATGGAATCACTTCGTGCCACTGAGCGGTTATGGAGTCGATCGCTTGGCTTTGTAGCTTTGATTAATACAATTGTATGCATGCATGGGGTTAGCCCACGTCCAATAACTGCTGCAAATGCCCTGGTGCCCCCCTAATGAAGCAGTTTTAAGTTTGGGTAAGACCGCCGAACAAAGTAGTCTAATGCAACACTGTTCCTAACTATAAACCTTAAGTCTGAACTCCTAACCATAACACCTTTAGCAATCCTAAGCAGTAATCCCTCATCTGAACAATAATCCCTAATCCTAACCCCTGAACCTCTAACACTAATCGCTAAACCTTAGCGCCTATCCCTAATCTTAGAGCAAACTAAAGAAGCTTTGTCCATGTTTCATTAACTGAAAGTTCAGGAATCAGGATTGGGCAATGCCTGCTAATGCATACCTGTAAACCCCTTATCAGTGCCCTACCTTATTACAGACCAATTCAGAGCTTATTGGTCACCCCGTGCCCCTTATAAAGCTCAACGTTCATCCTACAAAGTCCCATCACAAGGGAGAAACACGAACAAATAGACAATATATTTTTATTGCCCGTATTGAAACGGCTGTACGCCGTATGGACCTGAAAACTCAATTTCCCTGTTACAAGAACCCGGGGTAATATTGTCGTTTATAGTAGTGTAGTGTATAGTATAGCTGTCAACCCGTTATCAGTAACCTACCTTATAACAGACCAATTCACACCTTATTGGTCACCCCATGCCCCTTATAAATCTCAATGTTCATCCTACAAAGTCCCATCACAAGGGAGAAAACACAAATATTCCCCGGAGAAGAGCGGCGGTGAACGCGGAACCAAGCGGGAATTCCAGTCTGCTACGGGAATCCACTGCACGAGCAACCACGGCGGAATCCTTCGTCATCCGGTAAAGTCGCAGGTGCAGGAGTTGGAACCCCCCCCCAATAACAACAGTGCTGAGTCTATGGTGCAGTGCTGAGTCTATGGTGCAATGCTGAGTCTGGTGCAGTGCTGAGTCTATGGTGCAGTGCTGAGTCTATGGTGCAGTGCTGAGTCTATGGTGCAGTGCTGAGTCTATGGTGCAGAGCTGAGTCTATGGTGCAGAGCTGAGTCTATGGTGCAGTGCTGAGTCTGGTGCAGTGTTGAGTCTATGGTGCAGTGCTGAGTTTATGGTGCAATGCTGAGTGTGCAGTGCTGAGTCTTTGGTGCAGAGCTGAGTATGGTGCAGTGCTGAGTCTATGGTGCAGTGCTGAGTCTATGGTGCAGAGCTGAGTCTATGGTGCAGAGCTGAGTCTATGGCGCAATGCTGAATCTATGGTGCAGTGCTGAGTCTATGGTGCAGTGTTGAGTCTATGGTGCAATGCTGAGTCTATGGTGCAGTGCTGAGTGTATGGTGCAGTGCTGAGTCTATAGTGCAGTGCTGAGGCTATGGTGCAATGCTGAGTCTATGTGCAGTGCTGAGTCTATGGTGCAGTGCTGAGTCTACTATACATTTCCACGTGATGATGATAAGCCCACCACTTGCTTGAGCTATCATTTGTACGCTTCTGAAAACGAGATACATAGCTCAGTGGGGCCTTAACCCTGTATAATGAACATAGTTTAGTGTTGAGTATGGGCAGTGCTGACTCAATTGTGAAAACTGGGGAGTGCAGTAGGTGGAGAATATGTGCAGTGGGTAACACACCCTCGGTTCAGTAGATAATAGCCCTCCCCGGGGTTGGAGCTACTGTTGCGACGGATAAAGCCCCGTGCTGAAGGCATGGAGCCGCCCCTTTTGCAATGCGTAAACTAACCCTAAGCTCTTATTGTGATAAGGTTTTCGGGTTTATTTTGTTTAACCAGGTGAGGGTTATGTATGTTGAACTTCTTTCTCGTCATACGTAGGCAACGGAGGTGTGGGGGGAGGACAACAAACTGGAACGCAAAAAAGGAGTTAAAGAAATGCGTTTTCGATCGAGATGACGATTTAAAAGTGCATCACAGCTCCCGGTGGCTTCCTAATATCGGGAAGGAAGAGCATTCCAGACGGCCGGAAGAAGAACCGCGCCCCAAAAAGGCGCCGCCCGACGACGCGCTGAACCGGCTTCGATGGCTCGCCAAAAGCCGTCGGCTGCCATGGATGAGCGGAGTTGACGTGAACCGACGGTTTGTCGCTCCCGGAAGAGATGAAGCTTCAAAGACCAGGGTAGAGTCGCTCGTTTTGCAAGACTGCGACCCCTTGGGCCGCCAAAGTTCGGCCAAAGAAGTGCGGCGATGAAGCAAGCGAAAGAGAAACACAAAAAAACGGACGTGGAAGATTGGCAAGTGCCCCAAAGCATGGCACAGGTGGGGAGGCCCTTGGCGCCGTAGCAGCACATCATGGATTGCGGGTGTTGTAGATGCAAGCCATGCTGTGCGGCCTTGGTGCCAGGGAGCGCTAGCAACTGGTGAAATGAAAACAAAAAGTCGTTTTTAAACAGACCTGTCCCCAAAAGGGCGACGGATTTGATACAGCAAAATTGCTGTGTCAAGTGATTTGATACGGCAGAATTGCTGTGTCAAGTGATTTGATACGGCAAAATTGGTGTGTCAAGTGATTTGATACGGCAAAATTGCTGTGTCAAGTGATTTGGTGCAGCAAAATTGCTGTGTCAAGTTATTTGATACGGCAAAATTGGTGTGTCAAGTGATTTGATACAGCAAAATTGCTGTGTCAAGTGATTTGATACAGCAAAATTGCTGCGTCAAGTGATTTGATATGGCAAAATTGCTGCTTCAAGTGATTTGATACGGCAGAATTGCTGTGTCAAGTGATTTGATACGGCAAAATTGCTTTGTCAAGTGATTTGATACGGCAAAATTGCTGTGTCAAGTGATTTGATACAGCAAAATTGCTGCGTCAAGTGATTTGATACGGCAAAATTGCTGTGTCAAGTTATTTGATACAGCAAAATTGCTGTGTCAAGTGATTTGATACAGCAAAATTGCTGTGTCAGTTGATTTGATACAGCAAAATTGCTGTGTCAAGTGATTTGATACAGCAAAATTGCTGTATCAAGTGATTTGATACAGCAAAATTGCTGTGTCAAGTGATTTGATTAAGCACGTGACTTATAATAAAGATTTCCAAGAATGACAACGTTGCATAACTCTTTTCAGATTATTCATTTGGGCTGAAAGGGAAAATCTATGAGTGATTCATTTGTTTCGATTTAAAGCTTTCGTGACTGCAAGGATTCATCTTCTTTGGTTCTTTCGGTAAAGTCACGTAGAATGAGAATAAAATAATAAATTGATAAAATAACACAATAATATTCTCACGACGTTTCGGCCACAACACAAGCGGCCTTCATCAGGTGAAGGGACGAGACTGTCTGGAGGACAGCGCTGTCCTCCAGATAGTCTCGTCCCCTTCACCTGATGAAGGCCGCTTGTGTTGTGGCCGAAACGTCGTGAGAATATTGTGTTATTTTATTTTATAAATGTATTATTTTATTCTCATTCTACGTGACTTTACCGAAAGAACCAAAGAAGATGATTCATTTGTGTTAAAATCTCAGGTGTGCGGGATTAATCCGCAAATCGGATAACGGCACGCGGTTAATCGTGAGTCTTAATTGTATTTCAGAAATGTAGGTTTTTTTGGGGGGTTAGATCGTGTAAATATAAATGCGTCGTTAAACCTGCCACCGCCCGATGCAGCCAATTGGTAAGGGTTGTCACGTAAACAGAACATGCCAATTCGTTACTCGTACAGCACTAACCGGTGTGTTGGAGAGCAAATCCACAACATTTACAATCAGCTGCGGATTTGTGGATTTGCTCTCCCAACACACAACCGGTGTGCTGTACTCGTAACGAATTGGCTGCATTCTGATTTAAAGCTTTCGTGACTGCAGGGATTCATAATCTTGGTTCTTTCGGTAAAGTCACGCAGAAGGGAAACATAATAAAAATATAAAACAATTAAATTATCACGACGTTTCGACTGCAACACAAGCAATCATCAGGTGTGAAAACCACAGCAAGAAAATGTTCTTATATTTTCATTATTTTATTGTTTCCCTTCTGCGTGACTTTACCGAAAGAACCAAGAATATGGCTGCATTCTGTTTACGTGACAAACCTTATTCCTGATTGGCTGTGTCGGGTGGTGGCGGGTTTAACGACACGTTTATTTTTACGCGATCTAACCCACAAAAAACCTGTTACGGATGATATTGCTCTCGAAAGCCTACTGTGTGTTAGATTGTATTTCAGAAAACTATTGCCAGTTATGGTTGCCCACAGCACTACCGGGCATTCCCCGACTCACGAACGCCCACGCTTCCCGTAAGATAGATTTATTCTTATTTTTTTTTACTTTGAACCGTCCGTACTTTGCGAATGCGAACTCACTACATGCCAACCGAACTACAGCAACTTACTTTGCTTTGGTTAAAAAGTAGCACGTTTCTTATGAGTTGAACAACGTTGCTTTCCCTGTGTCGCACCGTGACACATTTCACGACGCTGAACCCGTGCGCGCATTTGAGTACGGCGCTGTTGCTGCGTTCCGAGCTTAACCTACGGCCCACGCTCTCACCATCAACTGCGCCATCAACTAAGTCACAGCAGCGACGACCGGTAGTGAGACTTGTGTGTTTCAAAGATCCCCGACGGCCATGCCGGTGGGGGTGTCTGGCTCCCGGCAGGTTTAACCATACCGGTGGTGAGGCTTGTGTTCTTCAAAGATCCCCGACGGCATGCCGGTGGGGGTGCCTGGCTCCCGGCAGGTTTAACCATACCGGTGGTGAGGCTTGTGTTCTTCAAAGATCCCCGACGGCTATGCCGGTGGGGGTGCCTGGCTCCCGGCAGGTTTAACCGTACCGGTGGTGAGGCTTGTGTGCTTCAAAGATCCCCGAGGGCATGCCGGTGGGGGTGTGTGGCTCCCGGCAGGTTTAACCGTATCGGATTGGTCTCGGGCGAAGGGGCATACCGGAACCTCCGGGTTGGCGGGTTGGGCGTACGGCTCGCAACGCTTCCCACGGGAAAAAAATGGTTACGGAAACCGAAATGAGGAAGAGAGACGACGCTAGGGCCACGGGAGGGCGGCTCAAGCCTACCTACCGGCAGTATGACCACTCCCGATGGAAGCCTGTCGGAAGTCAGGAGCGTGAAGGAGAGCCTACCGGGTCCTGAAGCCGTGGTAAGGCTTGGGACGTGGAACGTCCCGCACTACGTGCGAGACATCGAAGACAGCCCAAGCCCTCCGTGAAATGAAGGGATTACCGCCAAGGACGATCTGGCAGCAGCTGTCGACCCCTCTCGGGGCGAGGCTCGACATGTTGCCAAGGGCGGGAGGAGGTGGAGCGAGCTTGCTGGGCGAGGCATTATTGTCTCGCGGCGGGGGGGGGGGGGGCGTTGAAGAGGATACAACTCGCTCGCTTACTTTAGCGGTCAATGCTGGTCCCGGGCGTGCGGACGGGAAAAAAATAAAGTGCCATCGTGCCCGACGGTGACGAGCGACTTACCGAAGGACCGCACCGAGCGTGAGTGCCGAATGAAGACGGTTAAAGCGCGCCACCCCCACCCCGAGGCAATTGGGCAACGTTGGTCGGAGGTTGCGGTGCGCTGTGGAAGACCCCCAAGCGCAGAGCCGCACACGCGTCGTGAAGGACTCCCAGGGGATGAAGTTTATTGTCCATCACAACGTCCGGTGCCCACCAGAAGTCTTTCCTCTCTCGAGCGACTGTTCCCCCACTCTCTTTCCTTTTGTCAGCCTCTCCAATCCCCGAACCCCCACGCCTTCTAACCAATCCCTCCGCTCCCCTTCGGGCGGTCCCCCTGCCTCTTTCAAACCTTCCCGCCTTCTCCCCTCTTTTGAAACCTTCCCACCAATCGCCATCTAGCAAGCCACGTCCTAGCCATCCTTATAGAGTAGCGCCCCATCGTGGCGGTTACGCTGTTTGTGATATCAATGTCACCCCCCCCCCCCCCGCCATGTCCTACAAATAGGCTATCCCAAGTGTAGAGGAGTAATATGGGGACGTGACGTCATACGCCCTGTGAGGTGCGATGACGTCATGTAACCTGGGGGTGTACTTAAGGGGGGCCCCGTGACGAAGGCGGGGTCGTTGGGGGAGTCCGGGATAGAGAGCGGTTGAAGGGAGCCGAAGAGACAGCCAGAAGGCTGTAGAAGCCGGCTGTAGTTACGGGAGGCGAAGAGACAGCCGGAAGTCTGTAGAAGCCGGCTGTAGTTATGGGAGGCGAAGAGACAGCCGGAAGTCTGTAGAAGCCGGCTGTAGTTACGGAAGGCGAAGAGACAGCCGGAAGTCTGTAGAAGCCGGCTGTAGTTACGGAAGTCGAAGAGGCAGCCAGAAGTCTGTAGAAGCCGGCTGTAGTTACGGGAGGAGAAGAGACAGCCGGAAGTCTGTAGAAGCCGGCTGTAGTTACGGGAGGCGAAGAGACAGCCGGAAGTCTGTAGAAGCCGGCTGTAGTTACGGAAGGCGAAGAGACAGCCAGAAGTCTGTAGAAGCCAGCTGTAGTTACGGAAGGCGAAGAGACAGCCAGAAGTCTGTAGAAGCCGGCTGTAGTTACGGAAGGCGAAGAGACAGCCAGAAGTCTGTAGAGGCCGGCTGTAGTTACGGAAGGCCGAAGAGACAGCCGGAAGTCTGTAGAAGCCGGCTGTAGTTACGGAAGGCGAAGAGACAGCCAGAAGTCTGTAGAGGCCGGCTGTAGTTACGGAAGGCCGAAGAGACAGCCGGAAGTCTGTAGAAGCCGGCTGTAGTTACGGAACACGAAGAGACAGCCGGAAGTCTGTAGAAGCCGGCTGTAGTTACGGAAGGCGAAGAGACAGCCAGAAGTCTGTAGAAGCCGGCTCTAGTTACAGGAGGCGAAGAGACAGCCAGAAGTCTGTAGAAGCCGGCTGTAGTTATGGGAGGCGAGACAGCCGGAAGTCTGTAGAAGCCGGCTGTAGTTACGGAAGGCGAAGAGACAGCCGGAAGTCTGTAGAAGCCAGCTGTAGTTACGGAAGGCGAAGAGACAGCCAGAAGTCTGTAGAAGCCGGCTGTAGTTACGGAAGGCGAAGAGACAGCCAGAAGTCTGTAGAAGCCGGCTCTAGTTACAGGAGGCGAGACAGCCGGAAGTCTGTAGAAGCCGGCTGTAGTTACGGGAGGCAAAGAGACAGCCGGAAGTCTGTAGAAGCCGGCTGTAGTTACGGAAGGCGAAGAGACAGCCGGAAGTCTGTAGAAGCCGGCTGTAGTTACGGAAGGCGAAGAGACAGCCGGAAGTCTGTAGAAGCCGGCTGTAGTTACGGAAGGCGAAGAGACAGCCGGAAGTCTGTAGAAGCCGGCTGTAGTTACGGGAGGAGAAGAGACAGCCGGAAGTCTGTAGAAGCCGGCTGTAGTTACGGAAGGCGAAGAGACAGCCGGAAGTCTGTAGAAGCCGGCTGTAGTTACGGAAGGCGAAGAGACAGCCGGAAGTCTGTAGAAGCCGGCTGTAGTTACGGAAGGCGAAGAGACAGCCGGAAGTCTGTAGAAGCCGGCTGTAGTTACGGAAGGCGAAGAGACAGCCGGAAGTCTGTAGAAGCCGGCTGTAGTTACGGAAGGCGAAGAGACAGCCGGAAGTCTGTAGAAGCCGGCTGTAGTTACGGAAGGCGAAGAGACAGCCGGAAGTCTGTAGAAGCCGGCTGTAGTTACGGAAGGTGAAGAGACAGCCAGAAGTCTGTAGAAGCCGGCTGTAGTTACGGAAGGCGAAGAGACAGCCGGAAGTCTGTAGAAGCCGGCTGTAGTTACGGAAGGTGAAGAGACAGCCGGAAGTCTGTAGAAGCCGGCTGTAGTTACGGAACACGAAGAGACAGCCGGAAGTCTGTAGAAGCCGGCTGTAGTTACGGAACACGAAGAGACAGCCAGAAGTCTGTAGAAGCCGGCTGTAGTTACGGAAGGCGAAGAGACAGCCGGAAGTCTGTAGAAGCCGGCTGTAGTTACGGGAGGCGAAGAGACAGCCGGAAGTCTGTAGAAGCCGGCTGTAGTTACGGAAGGCGAAGAGACAGCCGGAAGTCTGTAGAAGCCGGCTGTAGTTACGGAAGGCGAAGAGACAGCCGGAAGTCTGTAGAAGCCGGCTGTAGTTACGGAAGGCGAAGAGACAGCCGGAAGTCTGTAGAAGCCGGCTGTAGTTACGGGAGGCGAAGAGACAGCCGGAAGTCTGTAGAAGCCAGCTGTAGTTACGGAAGGCGAAGAGACAGCCGGAAGTCTGTAGAAGCCGGCTGTAGTTACGGGAGGCGAAGAGACAGCCGGAAGTCTGTAGAAGCCGGCTGTAGTTACGGAAGGCGAAGAGACAGCCCCCCTTCGTCACAGGGCGTCACAAAAAGTCAGACACCCCCCCCCCCTCAAACATGACGTCACAAACTCTGCCCCCCCACCCAAAAAATATAAAACATGCTTCAAATCGATTTAAACTATCGTCATTGTAGCACGTATTTAACGTGGCGCTGCGCTCTGATGTTGTAGGAGAAAACATGAAAAAGTCTCATTAAGTAGAACGTGTTGAAATAGAACGTGTTGTCTTTATTTAAAGTTGCGCATTTTGATGTGACGTCACATTTGTCAATCCCCTCCTCGTCACACATCGTCACAAATGTCTGACCCCCCCACCCAGTGCGTGACGTCATTTATGGACGACCCCTAAACCCCAGGAACCGACAAAACAGATAGGTCATCGGATTTCTCTCGTCCCTGCAGTTCCAAATAGATGGTGTGGGCAAAATGAGTGTGTGTGGTGTGTGCGTGTCGCAAGGCTGTAGTAGCCAGGTCAACATTGGGGGGGACCAAATATTCCAGGGGTCTGGGGGTCCCTCCCCTCCGCTCCCCCCAGAAAAAAAAAATTGAACACTTAATTTCCTGACATTTAAAATATTTAAAAAATGCATTAACACATGAGATGCACTTATTTATTTGTTTACAATAATGTCTAATAGTGTATTGTATTACATTGCTCTGTTTCGATTTAAAGCTTTCGTGACTGCAGGGATTCATATTCTTGGTTCTTTCGGTAAAGTCACCACGTAGAAGGGAAATAATAAAAGAATAAAAATAAAACAATAAAATTCTCACGACGTTTCGGCCACAACGCAACCAGCCGTCCTCAGGTGAAGAAAACAGCTTTAAATGTGACGCTGTCTTCTGAAAGGCGTCTTAAACTAATAAAAAACTAAAATATAAACTACATCAATGTTATCAATAAACTCTCTATACTCTCCAACCAGCTGAGCTACTAACAATAAGTCGTTATACATTACAATGCCATATGGCGACAAAATGGGTGGCGTTTTTTTCTTTTCAACGTTAGCACGACGGACAGCGACGAGCTTTGTTCAGACGGACGAGTCCATCTATGCTCGGAACGGAGGAGGGGGGAGAGAAACAGCCACGATGTGCTGTTATACTCCATGTTGTAAACCATACCATTAACCGTGGTGTGAGAGGTATTAAGAGGAAATGCCAGCGAAAGGGGCTGCGGTCTGAAGGTCACCGTAAAATACAATTAATTAAGAACCGAAATGGTTTAAAACATCTTTCCAATGGTCACTAAGCCAGACTTATTGTTAGTAGCTCAGCTGATTGGAGAGCATATAGAGTGTATTGATAACATTGATGCATATTCTTAGTTCTTTCGGTAAAGTCACGTTGAAGGGAAACAACAAAATAATAAAATATATATAAAACAATAAAAATTCTCACGACGTTTCGACCATAACACAAACGGTCGTCTTCAGGTGTGTTGGTTTGCATAAATGTTTTTTTTAAACGGTGCATTTATTTATTTATAAAAAAAAACGTTAGCGCCACGCGCAGCGATTTTGCAGTTTATTTAGGACTAGTCCATCTAGATTCTGAAAAGAGGAGGGGGGAGACGATTTTTTTATTAATGTATGCTGTCTGAAAGCCACTGTAAGCGTGAACAATCAATTAAGACCTAAAATGGTTTATCAAATCTTTCCAATGATTGCTAAGATAGAATCCATCTTCTCGGTTGAAATTGTCTCTGTGCTTGTATATGTGGATAGCCTCATGGCGCTAACGTTTTTTATAAATAAATAAATGCACCGTTTAAAAATAAATGTATGCAAACCAACACACTTGAAGACGACCGTTTGTGTTATGGTCGAAACGTCGTGAGAATTTTTATTGTTTTATATATTTTTTATTATTTTGTTGTTTCCCTTCAACGTGACTTTACCGAAAGAACTAAGAATATGAATTACTGCAGTCACGAAAGCTTTAAATCAAAATTTAACATTGATGCAGTTTATATTTTAGTTTTTTATTAGTTTACTATATGATATTCATATAGTGTAGTGTATACCCAGTTACTTTATGTTAATATCTCAACTTATTGAAGAATATATTGAGTACATTTATTATATTGATGTAGTTTATACTTAGTTTTTCACATCGGTTTATTGTATGATAGTTGGGTAGTTGCAGTCCTTTAGCGTCCATATACTAAATGCCTCTGTTGATATGTAAACTTTGACTTTAACATAGCTATTTCCGTGACCAGTCACATGCTAATCCCTCACATTAACATCATGCTAATCTCCCAGTTACATGCTAATTTCTGACTTTAGCACCCTGCTGATCCAATACTTTAACACAGCTATTTCAATGCTAAATTATCCTGTTATGTAAACTCCTTTGTGAAGGCGCTTTACTTCTCCCATCTAGCTTAAAAGACGCTGCGAATCTTAGCAGCGTTCATTGAAGCGCTGTCGTCCCGACAGTTCTGTTCCTTCACCTGAAGAAGGCTACTTGTGTTGTGGCCGAAACGTCGTGAGAATTTTATTGTCTTTGTTTTATTGTTTTATTCTCATTCTACGTGACGTTACCTGAAAGAACCAAGAAGATTAATCCTTGCAGTCACGAAAGCTTTAAATCGAAATAGAACCAAGAATATTGCTCTGTTTATTTCTTTTTTACCTTTTATTGTTTCATTGTATGTAATGGCAGAGATTAGGGATTTATAAAGTACAACCATAACCACAATCATATAAACATAAATCTATTTTATAGCAATATATGGGGGGGGGGGGACATTTTGAGCATATTTGAATATTGAGGGAGGGGGGGGATGTGTCCCCAATATTTATTATAGTTACGGCCTTGGCGTGTGGTACCATGTCTCTCTCTGTGTGTGCCCTGGTTGTTTTCTATTGCAAGAGCCCGGCGATCCGTGGTGTCCGTCGACTCGATTATGAGGGAGCCTTTCAGGAGGCCTGAATCATCAAGTTGTAGAGATAGAAAAGAACAAATACAATAAAAAAAATAATAGCAAAAAAACTCTAAAAATATCATTGGTTCTTCCGGTAAAGTCACGTAAAAGGGAAACAATAAAATAATAAAAAATATAAAACATTACAATTCTCACGACGTTTTGACTGCAACACAAGCAATCATCATCAGGTATGAAAACCACAGCAAGAAAATTTGAAAAAAGTGGCAGTTTTTTTAACATTAACACCACGGAGAGCGATTTGGCAGTTTTTCAGATGGACGAGTCCATCTATGTTCGGAAAAGAGGAGGTAGGAGACGAAAATAATGGATGCGGTCTGAAAGCCACCATAAGAGTGAACAATTAATTAAGACCCGAAATGGTTTTATCAAATCCTTCCAATTATTGCTAAGCCAGAATCCATCTTCTCGGTTGAAATTGTCTCTTGTGTTTGTATATGTGGATAACCTCATGAACGAATCTTTCATGGTAGCCAGATGGCTTGCAAAAAACCTCTGTCTTGGAGGCCAATGTCATGTGAGCCTACTGAATTATAACAGTGATCTGCCACGGCCGAGATGTTGGTCCTACCGTGTTTCAGGTCTGCTTTGTGTTCACGAATGCGGTCCGAGACATGTTTAGTGTCTCCAATGTAACTACTACCACAGAGGCAACTTAGTTTGTAGACGCCAGGGTACTGTATGTCTGGAATCACATCTTTTATAGACGGAACCAGATCACGGATTTCATGTAATGTGTTGAATCGGACCTGGATCTTGTGTTATAATTTTATTGTTTCCCTTCTACGTTACTTTACCGAAAGAACCAAGAATATGAATACCTGCAGTCACGAAAGCTAAATCAAAACTATAAAAATAGTGAAATAAAATTATAAATCAATTGAAAATAAAAGAAAAACAGGTGCCACGGGTCGACTGACTAAGATGACTGGCTGATGCACCACCTGTGCCCCCTACTGTGCCAACCTGCTGTGCTTTAGCCACCCGGCGCTCCGCTCGTTGTTGTGAGCGTCGCTCCTCCGCCCTCCGTTGTTGTTGGAGGGCGACTGCCTCCAACTGCCCAGTAGCGTCCTTCACGAGCCTCCTCCACAGAGGCCGATCTTGACACCGCTGGTACCAGCCATCGGCAAGTCCACTCAGCTCCACGTCCTCTCGTACCACATCACTCCATCTCTTCTCTAGCCCGTGCCGCGCCCGTTTAGCCCCCTCGATCCGGCCGAACAAGAGCTGTTTCGGCATGCGGTGGCTGGGCATGCGGGCTACATGACCCAGCCAACGCAGCCTTGCCTGCCGGAGGAGCTCACCGATGGGACCTTGCCCAGATCTTTCAAGGATTTGTGAGCTCCTCACACAATCCAGCCTGGTTAAACCCAGGATGGATCGTAGGCAGGCTAGCCTAAATGTTTCTAAATGGCGAAGATATTCCATTAGGGGGGTCCACGTTTCGCAAGCGTAGAGAAGGGAGGGAATGCCCGTGGCCGAGAAGACCTGAAGCTTAGTGCGGAGCGACAGACCAGGTAGCTTCCACACAACGTTATGCAACCGATGAAAAGATGTTGCCGCTCGACTGATTCGGAGTGAGACCTCTGCTGTTAAACTGGAGCCGGTCATAAGCACACTGCCCAGGTATGGGAAACTCTCCACTCTCTCCACAACTGCCCCATCACCGATTGGGAGTTGTGGGGGTGGAGTGTCCGATGGTACAAAATACCCAGGCAGGTGCTTAGTTTTGGTGGGGCTGATGGTAAGGCCCCATCTCTTAGTGGCACGCTCCAGTCTCAGCAGCAGCGTCTCCAACTCCTCCTCTGAATGAGCAGCTATTACCAAATCATCGGCATACATAACGTGGTTGAGCAATAGGGAGCCATCCCTTGACCGCACCCGGGCATCGATCAGCCTCCCATTATATCTGTACCATATGGAGATTCCCCCGGCACAGCTATTGAAGGCTTCACGAACTACGTGGTCAAAATAGATGTTAAATAAGGTGGGAGCCAGAGGACATCCCTATCGCACCCCAAGGTGTACAGAGAATGGCTCTGACTCCCGGCCACGTAGTTTTACCCGG